TCTTCAGGAAATTATCTTGGATTCTCAAAGTTCTCTCTTAAACAAATCCAAGCCTTGAATTGTCTTTCCTTTCCAAGCAAGCCATTTACAAGGGCAAAATGGTCATTTGCAAGCTAAAAAAGTCAAACTTTGGTTTTTTTTAAATCAAAATCAAAACACAAAAATCATATTTCATCAAGACGTATTGGAATGTGAGGTTTGTTTCATCAAGAAGCTCAAAAGTCAAATTTTACCTTGAAAAAGTTAAAATTCTAAATACTTAGAATTTTTCTAAAGCATTTAAGAAAAATGAAACTTCAGAACTTCTGAACCAACCTCCAGACAGGAGCAGTCAGAAGTTGCAAACTTAGCTCAGCACATAATATTCAGTCAGAATATGGCCCTTCAGTAGCTACGCCAACTCAGTTAGAAGTTGTAAACGTGTTTCAGCATGTAATCTTCAAACAGAATATGGCTCTTTCAGCAGTCACGCAAGTTTAGCCAGAGTTTGCTGGAGGAATGCAAAGAAATCAAAGAAACCTGAAAACTCCTTCAGAACAGGCTAGAATTAGAAGGTAAAATGGGTCAGAAGATTGGGTGTTACACTGAAACAGAACCTTTAAGTCCATAATTTTCAGAAGCAAATCCAAAGAGCATGCTAAAAAGTCTGGAGAACCCTCAGAATTTGCTGAGGCAGCAGGATACTAAGATTAGAGTTTGAGTGCGTTGTATGCTGAAGCAGGGACTACTGGCTCAAATAAGTAATGATGAAAATCTCACGTTACAAGATTTCTTGGTCTTGACCAATCTCATCACCATTTAATGCTCATTAATGCTCACAACCACTTTTGAACATTTGTCCAAAGGGTCTCTCCACGTGCAGCATAACAAAGTTCCTGTGCATGTTTGAGTATGGGTTCATGCGCCACTTTTCGCTCATGGGTGTCACTTTTCCTTAATCCTCGCTTACGATTCCAGCCTAGGCTGAAAAGCTGTCCATTATCACAACTTTTCATAAACTTCATTCAAGAGCAAGTCAACACCTATTGCATGGTATTGGCGCCATTTAACGTTTAAAAAATCCACAGAGCTTTGCCTATAAATAGAGCACCATTGTCCACTAAGAAAGCCCGGTCCAAAAACCCAGAAAAATTGCTAGGAAAGAAACATGAAATTTTAGCAAGAAAACACTTTGAAACCCCTGTCAAAATCCCTAGTGTTTCAAGAACTGTAAACACAGCATACCAACCATTAACTTTGAATCCCCTGCTTTCAAACTCCATTTTCCCTCAAAATATTTCTTGACTAAGAAACACCCATACAGTTTCTGACTATATATATATAGTTCATCCATCCATTCAAAGAACCTACCCAGAACATCATCAGAGTTAAGGCTAGCTCCAATTCACAGATTTCCTCCTAGCAGCAAGGTAAGCACTTGCTGACTCTTACCACGCTGCTTAAGCATCATCAGATTTTCATGCTCAATAAACACAATGTAGATATCATGCTTCTGATGTTGTGCATGTTTTGAGATTTTTACGCCTCTGTATGCTTAAGTAGAGAATGAATAGTTCAGAACTTGCCTCTGACTTTTTGGTTCTGTCTTCTGGAATGCTATGACACTTGCTGAGACTGTCCTAGGCATGTCTTCTGTTTTATGGAAAAATAACCAAACTGCAGATGTTCTGATTAGCACAGGGGGAAACCAAGCTCTGACTTTGACGCCGACACTTTTGAAGCCTGTCTTGATTTCAGTAATATCAGAACTTCTGAAAATTACTGTGATCCCAGCAGGGTCAGAACTTCTGACCCCCCTCCCACTAACATATTTCTGTTTTGCAGCGCACTGGGGTCAGAACTTCTGACCTTCCTACTAACAGGTTTCTGTTTTGCAGCGCACCAGGGTCAGAAGTTCTGGCCCATACATTTTCACTAACAGGTTGATATCCTGCAGCAGGCCAGGGACAAAACTTCTGACTTCCTCTCAACAGCACGCTGACCCCTCATTCTTTCTTTTTTTCTTCCCCTTGTTATTTTTCTTTATTTTTCTCGCTGGATTCCCTATTCATAAGTGTGTACCCCACCCCCTAAATATTGTAATAGCGTAGGATTTTACATTTCCGCATTTTTATCGCTTTCAATTGTAAATGCTAGCAATTAGGATACATATGACAAGATAAAATCAATGAAATAGAAAATCCTAATTCAAGATAAAATCATGCATGCAATAAAACACACTTGCACACAAACACCCTTAAGGTTTTTCACTTGGTTGCCTAAATAAAAATGGCCATGTTACACGCGAAGTATCTTGGCAAAACAAAACAAATATAAGACCATAGTCCCTCGATGACGCTATCAAAAGGTTGCCTAAACAAAGATGATCTTGGTCCCTCCAAATTGCTAAGATACTTGGCATTATTGCTATCATGGCCATACGATGATCCACGCCCGTCCCGTTTACATCCAAAGATAGGGTTGCTTACCAAATCAATGGTAAGTCAACAATATCAAAAGAATAAAAATGCACAAGAAAGACATTTGAGTAGGTAGATAACTTCTAGTTACTTGTCACATTTCAAAATAATCCTTTCTATTTTCAAAAGCAAACACACACACATTTCAAAACATCTTGCAAAATGTTGAAAATATTTTCAAAAGACAAACATCTTTGTATACATTCTTACGAACGAGAATCATTACAAAGATTGCCTAAACGAGTGGCCTCTTTTCAAAATACTTTCAAAACCACACCAAGCACCATTTCAAACAAAACAAAGCAAAGCAAGTGATCTAAACAAGTAACTAAGAGCTCATGGAAAACCATGGATGAAAAGGGTGCTAGCACCTTCCCTTTTCATAATCTACCTCCCGAACTCAAGAAAACATCTCAAAGGTCTTTCCTGTGCTTTTTTACCTTTCCTTTTGGATAAAAGAAAAGTTGGCGGCGACTCTTGCTAACCGCAACATTTGCGAATACAAACGCAAAACCTCAAGTCAGTTCTCCCACCGCATCACAATGCAAAAATGATATTATGAGCTTGACATCAAAACCTTGATCAACTCACATGATCTAAGTAATCATAGATCGACAGGGACGAGTGAAAGTCCAAATGACTCCTTTTCCTCGATTCATCATTTTATTGTTAATTGATATGGTGGAAATGTTGATGAGTGATTCTCACACACTAACACCCATGATCTTACAATCATTAAAGATGATATGGTAAGTTAAATTTGGTGGCAAACTTCAGTATAAACTACTCAACTTACATTTTTTTGAAATATTCAATCTCATAATAAAGAAAATAGAAATGAATTGACAACAAATAACTTGAGAACTAAAATTAGGGGTGGAAAGCTCCGTTTAGGCGCGTCCCACAAAAGCTTGCAAAAAAAAGAGGATGAAACAGACGGATGTTGTTGAGGATGCGAACCTAAAATCTATCTTCGTCTCGTAAAAAAAGTGAGAGCGAGATAGAAAAAGTCCACGGACACTGCACGTTTTAAGCCTAGAAACACAAAAATTTATTTAAATGAACGTGCCCGCAAAAGTTCGCATAAAAAAGAAAAAACAAACACATTATAGAATATGAGTCTAAATCTTTAACCCACCACGCACTAAAATACGAATAAAACAGACATTCAACTGGTCGGGGCCGTTTTGCCGTCCCCTGTTAAAATAGTAGTAAATTATCCTTTCATAAGTTATGAGTATGAAGGTCTAAAAAGTACTAGTTCATTAGAAGGAATCGAAAGTCGAGGACAAATTTGTAAGAGGCTCAACTAGAAACGAAGTAAAGTCAAGTCATTCAGAAACACTACGAGCACTCCATGAACATCGCCATGGACTCGTATTGCTTCCACACTGTTGCATCTTTTCTTCTCCTCGCTTCTACCGCATCTTGCCTCTCATTTCCAAACCCTTCTCTCCTCGGCGTTCACCCTCTAGGTACGTAACCTCTATCTCCCCCTTTTGCCTCAATTCGGCGAGAAACCCATTTTTCACTTTTTCTTTTTAATCTCAATTTCTTATTTTGTTGATTTTCGTTTTATGGCTTCAGATGTGAAATATTATAGCTCCGAATTCATCAAATGCAAGGACGGATCAAAATCCTTCTCTAGAGACCGTCTCAATGACAATTTCTGTGACTGCCCTGATGGCACTGATGAACCTGGTATTCTATTCTATCAATCAGTTTTATCATTTACTTTATTCAATTAGGTTTAACTTTATTCTTTAATTTTATGCAAAATGTTTGATATTGGTTGTTTCTTTATCTTTCAATGTCACACTCTTGTTCATTTTTTTATGTAAACCCTAAACCCTTATATTGTAACTTGTTATGAGCTTGTTGTTCATTTATCTACAGGAACTTCCGCTTGTTCAGCTGGAAAGTTTTATTGCAGAAACCTAGGAAGCAAGCCACAGTTTATATTTTCTTCCCATGTTAATGATCGATTTTGCGGTAAACATTTCCTCCTGTATTTTTCTTGTTGTCGCGTTTATCTTTCTATGTTTCTTGCATTTTGCCAAGGTAATGGACTGGAGATCTTATTCCCTTATTGAAAATGATGTTTTGTCTATGTTTCATTCAATACCGCTGCAGATTGTTGTGACGGGAGTGATGAATACGATGGAATCGTTCGTTGTCCCAACACATGTGTCATGGGTGGAAACACAGAGAACATGTATGGCAATTATAATTCAAAGGTAAGCAATCTGGATCTTTTTGCTGAAAAAGAAACAGAACATGGAGTGAAGTCAGAGGAATCGGTTCATAGCCTTAATGGTAACTAACTTATTAGTTTTTATCCAACAACTTTTTGAACGTGTTTAAAGTTTTGGGTAAAAATAAATTGGAAGTTGTTGGTTTAGGTTTGAAGCTGGCAGTTATTCTACAAGTGGTTCTAGTTGCTTTTTTGGTAATTCTATGGAGTTTCCGTTGCCACACCAGATATAGGAGGAGGCGTTCCCGCTGAATTAAAAGAGACCTTGGTGTTTACATGATTTTGAAATGTGGTAATATTTTTAATATATTCTTCATTCTCCCTATCTTAGTACTTCTTGATTATATGTTAAGAACTTTCCATAGATTTTAAGAAAAACAATAGAAGAAGTAAATGCTAACGGGGTTTAAGTATCGTTTTTTGACAAACTGTTGCAGGTTTCATGTTCGTTATGGTACTCCAGAACTGTATAAGACTATTATCAGTGGTGATTGGATAGAAAACACAATGTATATTTTCTTCTTCATTCCCACCCATTTTTGAACCACTGTCCTTCAGTTGTCCATTATCTACAAAAGCTTGAGCGCCGTTGAGTTCAAGCAGAAATAACAAACTATGAGAAAATTCCCAACTTTGTCAATGTCAATTATTTGTAGTTCTGCAAAATATCAAATCCCTTTTCTTCATCCTCTCCATAATCCAAGAGAGAAAATTATTGGTGAAATGCTGCAGTATTTAATACCTCTCAAACCTCACTGTAAACCCCACCGAGCCTATTCCTGTATAATTTCTTATATCCTTCAAAAGTCTCATCCCCCCTCTCTTGCTCTTGTTATCCTACAATATACGCTATGTTTTGGTCGTTTTCAAGTTTCACAAACCCGTATTATGTCTCCTCTAGTATGCTTGGTTGTCGCCGAAACACTTGCCCCGTTCTATATCTTACTGTTTTGCCTGATATGCAAACTATTGGATATCTTGACTGCGGGGCTTGTAATTTTCCTACTATCACCTATGTAGCTTCGATCAACTGTTGGATGCAGTCAAACTCCTGAACGACATGGATAGAGGAGAATGTGTTCCCGATTTGAAGAATTATACAACATTATTTTAGATGATTCACAAGGACATTTTGAGGTGCCCCAGACTTGATGAAGCAAATTGGTGAAATACGGGGTCGACCCTGGGATGAGGAACCATTGTGAGATTTTTGGCTGAGCTACGACCAGAAAGGGAAATATGGAAAGCTTAACAATATTGATTTCATAGAGATAGTATTATCTTGTTGGATTTAAACTATGTAGGTTACAATGTGTGACGAAGGGTTGTTGATTGTTTGACAAGTGTACCAAATTGCAACAATAGTAAAGAAATGAAGATTATTGTTTTGTTGTTATTAGTTACCTTTTTGTCAGGTCTTGCCCTGTTTGAAAACTCAATTAAAGTTGGCATGTATGAAACATCAAAATATTCATAAAATGAGAGAAAAAATAACAAAATTTAGAGTATATTGCAATGCACTTCATTCATCATCACAAATTAGTCAAATTATACTGTATATTGAGGGATATATTTTAGCCAGTACTAGTCCATGGAATATGGCCTGTGATGCGTGACAAAGATTTTCAATATAGTACTCAAGCCTTATATATTGGATTATTTATAGTGGACAGCCAGGTCTTCAGGCAATCAGGATTCTGAGTATTGGCGTCACCATTCATATGTCAATGACTCTAGGATGGATTTTCACTTTGAGAAATGCACACGGTTCTCAGGTTTGCAAAATATTTGGGAGCATGAATTACGAAATCTAAGTATTTGATCGAATCACCTGGCAACACTTTATCAAATTATATGTTCATAACCTAAATCAGTCATTGCTTCTGTTTTACTACTTTTTACTTTTAAGAAGATTAGTGCATATAGAATCAAATAACTCATCTATAAGGAACATCACTCTTGCCTTTTATTTATAATTGTAGCATATGGAATGGTTCATCATGATTTTCTGCTTGATAGAATTGTTTTTTCTGACTAATTTCACAACTGATAAATCATTATGTCACTACCTAAATATGTTTCTTGTGTTAAATTTAAATTTTTTCCAATGGCTGCAGTGGTAGACTTGAATTTCTCTTGAAATTATTATAACTATAAGAGAATTTGTTGAGGTGATTTTCAACCATTGCAGATCAATAAGCTATACTACACTACACAGGGTAGCTGGCTAATTTTGCAATGCCACACAGACCGGCTTTATCAAAAGTGTTACGCTTCATCCTGATATAACCAGATTCACCCCACTCAGAACCCCATGAATTCTTCACAATCCAATACTTGTTTCTATTTTCTTCTCCATAACCAACTACAGTCACAGCATGATTAAGTTGCTTTCCACAAATGCCAGAGAAAACACCTTCTGAATAAAGTTGAAAGAAATAACCTCCCGCGTCAATTCCAACAGAGACAGGTTGATGAGCAGCTGCAGCTTTGAGCTTAGCCTCGTTATCAGCAGGAACTTTTTCATATCCACTTATACTCACGGCATAATGTTTAGCTTTTTCCGTGTCACAGGTACCATCTACCCCTTGGTAAGGATAGTCTTTCTCGGTGGTTATTCCACCGTTGTTTATAATGAATGTAAATGCTGTCTCCATTAAGCCACCTTGGCATCCTTGGTTATCACTTTCAACATCACAATCTATCAGTTCTTGTTCCGATAGAGAGACCAATTTTCCCGATTTTATTTTGTGGAGTCCTTCTACAGCTGCCACTGCAGAGAATGCCCAACAACCTCCTGCATGAAGACATATCATGAACTGCATAATATGGTAAAATTGAAATAACATATTTCGGCACACCTAAAAGCTATGCAATTGTATTACAAGAAACATTACCACATTGGCCTTGATTCTTGACTTTAGTCACTGCTCCCTCCTTTCTCCAATCCTTGCTATCTGGAATATCACCATGTCCATCGTACCTGAATCCTGTACGTGAATGCGGCCTAGTTCTAAGACCCATGTAAGTACTTCTAAACTCTTCATTTGTAAGATCTGCAAATTTATTGTCTGTGAGATTATATGAATTTTTCTGCGCGTTTATACGTTCTATGTACTGAACATTTGCTTGGTAAATGTTGAAACGGACTTCCCATTCATCACTATGCTTGTATTTTCGACCATGTCGTTTCGTCCAACCTTCAAATCTCTTCCTTAATACTTCTATGTCAGAAGATTTCTGTTTGTGTCCTGAAGGACATTCGCTTGCAGTTATGCATGCATTGCACAGCGTGAGAAGAATGAAGAGAGTGGTGGTTAGGACTGTACTTGTCATTATGTGGCTAGTTCTCAATGCAAATGAGAATAGGAGCATGCATTCATATTTATCACATAAACATTGTGTTCTTTATGCATTTGCAAATTCTTGTAAACTCACGTTTAGAAGTGTTTCATGTGTACACGTATCTTCTTCTGTCCATGTTTTTGGTGCTTGCATGTTTTCGCAAAACAAGAATTTTATTTCAAAATTCATTTACTCTGCATGATCTTAAGAACATGTTACCTATAGGAATGATAGTTCAACACAACTGATATTTGACACATTAGAAAGTTGGCTAAGTTTTGTGATCACTCACCAATATGGGAAATTACAAGAATGTCTTTTATTTTTAACCGATCTTCGGATTATCAAAATCACTCACCTAAGAACTAAAGGGTTAACACTGAAAAGAGAAGATAATCAAATTGTAACGTGCATAAAATTTGAGTGAGTTATAAAACATATATACACTAAATTTCCCTCAAGTTAATATCATTGTGGAGTCTAAAATTCAATACCTAAAATATAGATGATTACATTATACAAACAAAAAATTCAAACCAAAGTGTTTTTTCTCCAAATTGTGCACGTGAGCAGGGAATAATAGGTGATAAAGTTTGACAGCTAACAACTTATGATCACTTTTGAATAATTGATGAAAAAGAGTATATTTCGGGATTTTCTCATGGATTAGTTACGATTCATCATATGTTTTGAAGTAGTTGGGATTCTTCTATTTATTTATTAAAAAAAAAAAGGCAAAAATAAAATTTCATTAGATATATACCATAGCGAGATAAGGAAAACAGACCCAATACAAATGTAATAAAGCTCTTAGAATGATAGTAATAAAAGAAGAGAAAAAAAGGACAAATCACAAATTAATAAATATAAATACAATAATTATAGTTCAACAAGGATCACTGTAGAGGGCATCAGTTTCGTACCATGGCGCTCTCTTAACTCGTTGACCCATAACAATTTGACGTTTCTGTTGTGTTTGGATCGATGACTCTTGTAATACCTCAATGCGCTCAGGTCCCAGCTCACTAAATTGTCTCAAATACTTGCTATTAAAAAGTCGGTTGTCTATGTCGTAAAAGCTTTGTCGTGGTGGGGGTGGTGGGTGATCGAAGGTTGGTCGGCAGTACTGGTCAGTTGGATCGAGTTGGAAAAAATATAATATTTTTTGTGGTGTGTTGAAGCCACATGGTTGTTGGGAGCTACGGTGATGTGATATTTGCGGGATGAGTGAGTCATTTGGGTGGTATTCGTTAGCTTGGCCCGATTCGGGACTAGGTTGAGATTTAGAGGGGTCCGCATCAGGGTGTTGACCATAACACATGAGCCATCCCATATGACTTCTTTTTACACACATTGCACATAGACGCCACATGAATTGATGCCTTGCTTTTCATTCGGACATAGGTGCCAGGCCCATGGCGTGTACACACAAAAAGCACACATAGATGTCATTAAGGGTGGCGTCAATACTTAAGCCAATTTCAAAACTTGATTATTGGCGTAATTTAGTAGAAAATATAATTATTTAAGAATTTAAATTGAAGTATATGGTTATTGTGGAAAAAATTTTAAATTGTGTAAGTACATGCCATTTTTATTATCTTGGGATTTATTATTTTTGTGTTTACTAGTTGTCCTTCCAAAGCCATAGTTTGGTTTGGCACGAGAGTGAATTCCTATGTAGAATAAGTCGGGTGATATTGATGAGTCATATCACATTTAAGATTTTTTTTTTATACATTAAAATAGTGTTTTATTTAAATCCTTCATTATTTAATGATATAAATTGAGTTTGTTTTTGTAAAAAAAAAGTGTAAGTGGCCAATTCCACGTCATAGTAGAAATGAAAAAAATTAAATAAAAAAGAGGTAAAGTTCTACCACTACATCAAAAACCAAAAACATGTTGTGGTTTGGATCATTTCTCGTAATGAAATTGTTTTTTTTATAGTATTTTAATAAACGTGAAAAAGTGGAGGAGACAAATTTTTTTGTCTTAGAAATAATTCTTGGATAGATCAATGGAGAATTATTGTACTTTCACATAATGACTTCAAAATCCTATTTTTTAGATTAATCAATAACAGATATATATTTTTGGCTAGATTGAGAGTGTGTGTTTTTCCTTTCTTCTTCGATGGTTTTTGATTGGTGTTAGTGGTTTAACTAACTTGAGATCTAACTTGATCATTCACTAGAGTGCAGTTCTTATATGATATTTTTTTTCGAGAATTGACGTGTGGTACCTTAATTTATTTTTTGACCTTGTAGTTCATTTCTTTTGTTTTATTGTTTGGTTTTGTTGTTTTAGCTTTTGGTGTTGGTGCACAACGTGATGAACAAAATGAATATATTTAAGAGAGCAAAGAGAATGACGACTGTAAAATCTACAAATGAAATAATGATGTTGTATTTATGACATTTATAACTAGTTTATTTATACACAAAAAGAAATGCCACACAGGCTATAATAGAATAGACTTAATAATTAAGTTATCTAAAACAATTAGAAATACTAAAATACCATTTAATACCATCCCTTAATTTAGGATTTCTAATTAAAAACTAACTACACCAATTTCATTTCTTAGGCGAAGAAATTGATCCATCTTGATTGCCTTTGTCATAATATTTACCAGCTGCCTCTGGGTGCTACAGTACACAACTTCTAATACTTTGTTATGGACTTGACTTATGAGAAAATTACACTT